AAGGCAAGCGCTCTACCACTGAGCCACCTTCCCAGCCCTAGGTAAGAACTTTCTAAAGAGAGTTCCAGGGGCATAGCAAATAGAGATTGGACAAATGAAATTACATCAAAATAAACAGTTTCTGCACAGCAAAGGACATTGTTATTAAACTATAAAGACAGCCAACAGACTGGGAGAAGATCTTTATAGCTATATATCTGAAAAGGGCCTAATATGCAAAATATACAAGGAGCTCAAGCTCCTCCCCAAATTAACAATCCAATCAACAAATGGGCAACGGAACTAAATAACTTCTCAGAAGAAAAAGTAAGAATGGCCAATAAACATATGAGGAAATGCTCAACATCCCTGGCCATAAAAGAAATGCAAATCAAAACAACAATGAGATTTCATCTTAACCCAGTAAGATTGGTCAGCATTGAGAATTTGAACAACAATAAATGCTGGTAAGGATGTGGGGGAAAAGGAACCCTATTACACTGTTGATGGGAATATAAACTAGTGCAACTACTCTAGAAGGTAGTCTGGAGATTCCTCACAACTAAATATAAAACGTCCTATGATCCAGCCATACCACGCTTGGGCATCTACCCAGAACATAACAAGTCAGGATATAGTAGACACTTACACACCCATGTTCATTGCTGGATTATTCATAATTACCAAGTTTTAGAAACAGCTCAGATGTTTTTCAATAGATGAGTGGCTCAAAAAAGGTGGCACAGGGGCTGGGAAGGTGGCTCAGTGGTAGAGCGCTTGCCTTGCATGCATGAGGCCCTGGGTTCGATTCCTCAGCACCACATAAGCAGAAAAAGCTGGACGTGGTGCTGTGGCTCAAGTGATAGAGTGCTAGCCTTGAGTTGAAGAGCTGAGGGACAGCGCCCAGGCCCAGAGTTCAAGCCATGACCGACAAAAAAAAAGTACATATAAACAATGGAATTTTACTCATCCACTAGAAAGAGTAATATATCATTTGCAGGGAATGGATGTCCCTAGAATAAATCATGTTAAGTAAGCCATGCTCAGAGAGAAACAGCACGTTTTCTCTCCTATGTAGAAGCGAGATCTAAAATACAACTATTCATGATAACAAATATAGGACTCAATGCATTTGCACACAAATTGGCTAAAGGAGGCTATACTTAGGGGAGAAATCAAAGGGCATAACCCCTCTGAGCAAGTAAAGTACTGTTTATCAAAGCAAATACCAGGAAATGAAAACATGGTTTTGGGCAGGGGGGGGTGTGTTGTGGGGGGTAGCATAGCAATGGAGAGAGGAAGGGTTAGCAAATGCAATCTCATTGTATTCAATGTACTTTTTTTGTTGTTGGCATGGGGCTTGAACTCTGGGCCTGGGTGCTGTCCCTCAGCTCTTCAGCTCAGTGGTAGGCTAGCGTTCTACCACTTGAGCCACAGTGCCACTTCTGGTTTTCTTAGTGGTTTATTGGAGATAAGAGTGTTACAGAGTTTCCTGCCTGGGCTGGCTTTGAGCTGCGATCCTCAGATCTCAGCCTCCTGAGTAGCTAGGATTACAGGTGTGAGCCACCATGCCCAGCTCTCAATGAACTCTATATAAAAAATGAACTGGGGCTGGGAAGGTGGCTCAGTGGTAGAGCGCTTGCCTTGCATGCCTGAGGCCCTGGGTTCGATTCCTCAGCACCACATAAGCA